GCGCATATATTTCTTAGAGTTAGAGTGGGCAACAAATACTTTGTGCTCGCAGATCTGAAGCACATATCATGTGAAATGGCAGTATAGTGACACAAAATTTACGATTCCAATGCAAATAATATAGCGAATGCGTTTTAGAACATAAATTTACATAACAGAACATAAATATATCATGCAACGACTATTAGCGCAAACGGTAAGCTTCGAAAATCATGATTTTCGACAAAACAAACGCGCTATTATACAGACACGAATCACGATCAGTACCTGGCCAATTTAAGTTCCATTGCAATTTAATACGATACTTGTTATTGTTGAGCAAACTGCCAGGCAAACTGCATGTAAACTTCAAGGATCAATATTTTCGAACAAGCAAGCTGATATTTCCATAGTCCGGAACGTTATTCCGTGGAGCCGTCTGAAATTTACATACAAACGCGCTCCTACTGAAACCACAACTAACTGGCGTGACGTCAGATATAATGCTCGTTCCAGACTTCAAGCAGTTAGATATTCCGACGGCCATGTGCCAAGTAATATAAGCAGGTTCAAGTGGCTCTAAAATTTATGCTTTTTAACCAAAAGCAAACATTTTTTCGCGAAACTACTACACTCAGCAACTACAATTTTGGGGTTACGGGCATTTGAACAATAGGGTAAATTGCAAATTGCAGCGAGCATAGTTAATAGAATAGAATAAATGGTTTGGAAACTCATTAGAATAACAATACTAACAATATAACTCATTATCTACATATTAGTGAACATTTATTCATAAATCTGGTCTTTCACCGTCACGTGTGTATTGTATTTTTGCCCAACTAAGTACTAACCAATACTCAATAGCAATGTTTTAGGAAAGTTACCTACAGGGTGTATAAAAAAAAACTGAACCCTTTCAAATTCAAATTTAGCCTCCTCCGCAGTAATTTGACAGCTCATTAATGGTTGGGTAATAACACAAGGACTTGTACTCATGGGACAAAACTCTTAAAAACTTTTAAATTTTCTAATTTTTATTTCTTTGAGTTTCGTCCCATGAGTACAAGACCTTGTGTTCTTACCCAACCATTAATTCAAAGCAATTAGAGCTGTCAAATTACTACAATACGTTATAGCTAATTTGAATTTGAAAGGGTTCAGGTTTTTTTATACACACTGTATATTTCTTTGAGTTTCGTCCCATGAGTACAAGACCTTGTGTTCTTACCCAACCATTAATTCAAAGCAATTAGAGCTGTCAAATTACTACAATACGTTATAGCTAATTTGAATTTGAAAGGGTTCAGTTTTTTTATACACACTGTACTGTATATCCATGACTCCGGCGAACAATTAATAGAGTAAATTGGAAATTGCTATTGGTGGACATGGCAAAAATATAATACACACGTTACGGTGAAGGAACATATTTATGAATAAACGTTGACAAACATAGATATACAGGGTGTCCCAAAAAAACTGCAAACTATTGAAATAACATATTGTTAGAATTTGAATGCCTCAGCACTCTGCTGAACACACATGATAAAAGCTTGACAGTAAATTTTATGCATAAAGAAACTGTTTAAGAAGCTGTTTTAAATTCCCAAGAGCAGAAAATTGTGCGCTTTATACAAAGATATTTTAATATTTCAATATTTATAATATATGCACCCTGTCAATATTTTACGCATCTTTGCGTTCAGCTTAGTGCTGAGGCATTCAAATTCTAACAATACGTTTTTTCAATAGTTTGCGGTTTTTTGGGACACCCTGTTACCTGTATAATGAGTTGTATTGTTATTCTAATGAGTTCCCAAACCATCTAATAGATAGCTTAAGATCTACGACGTCGACGTCAGCTACGACGTCGGGGCTAAGCAGAGGACTGGGACTAGGACGTCGTCCTAAATAAGTCGATAGCTCAAGTATCTATACGACGTCAAATATTTAGGGCGGCAAGTGGAAGTAAATTGGTAATAGTTTTTGAAGTGTGTATGTGTGTCTCCAAAGTCTCCCAATTTGCTCGTCGTCCACCAAACGTCGACAACCTCACAACAAGAGTTTTACCGTCGTAAATACAAAAGCATAACAAACGGTAGTGGTTCACACCTCTTTTAAATTCATTTTCAAAACGATGTAAATATTTATAGTTTAAATGTCTACATCGTGAAACTTAAGTTGAAGTTTATTTATTTAGGACAACGTCCTAGTCCCAGTCCTCTGCTTAGCCCTGACGTCCTAGCTGACGTCGACGTCGTAGATCTTAAAGGAGCAGTGTCACCGTTTGCGCATCTTTGCTGCGCATAAACAAAACATTTCGGAAATGGCCGGAACCATTCGGCGCAAGTGTGAAAAATCAAAATGGTGAGTAAAAATTTGCATTTATTTGCATACAATACATAGATGGAAAATGTTGAATTGATCATTCCCACATTTGCATAGGAAAGCCACTGTGATTGTAAAAGTTCTTGCAGTGTAAAAAGGAAAGAGAATGAAACTCGAGGTTGTCGTTGCAAAGGGCGAAATGTCGAATGTTCGGATAAATGCCGGTGTGGTACTCGCGATAAACCTTG